TATCATGACTTTGTGGAAGTTTTCAAAGCTTAAAAGTCCCTCAGAGATCGAGGTACTTTTCGACCTATCCCATATTATGAGTTCCTGTAGGGCCACTCCGCCGTAGTCGAGGAAGCTAACACTTACTCTTGAGGAAGGATATCGCTTGCCATGGCAGAGGGTAGCTTTTGCATCAGCGCTTCCAGGCTGGACTTATTTAACTCGTAGTTAGGCAATGTATAGGTCGCCCACCAGCACAGAATGACGGCCCTTTACTCAAGCTTCTTGAGGCGCAGCCGAAGGTAACCACCAGTAAGTTGGCAACCTCTCTAGGCTCCACCTGACTGACAACTGCCATGCTTCTCCGCAATCTCGGTTATCGGAAAAATTTTTGTGAAGGATGCCTCATGAGTTGGACCCGTCTGACAAGTCATACCGAATGACCGTGACTGAGTTTTTTTTCCTTGTACACACTGGAGGAACATTTGTGAGATCTTGTGGTTGGTAGAGAGTGGTGGAGTCCTTGCGTACATCATTGCACATGTTCCTCGCAGGATCTCTCAAACAGAAAAGTAGATTGCTCAGCCAAAAGCAGATGTGCATGGGATAAAGATTTCAGTGTGTTATTGGTGGGACTTCAAAGCGGTATCACTGGATACTAGCACCGTTGTAAGGACCACAGTCCACCTTAATCGACTTCAAAATATGGATGACGTCACGCTTGAATTCTTCAGAAATACTCAATTTTTCTCTACTACTCGGCAATGCGAAGACCGCATGTTAGGATCAGGCCACACCAAAAGATCGTGGATCTTGATCTGAGAATGCGACCGTACCCAGCTTATTCATCAAAGTTAGCAGTCTCTAACTACCACCTCCTTTGATCCCTACCGCATCCTTAAGAAGGCAAAAATTCCGAAAATCGACGTCTACTCAAAAATGAGGTCCACCTCTTCTTCTTATCATAGTTGCCGTAGTTCTATGAGAATGGAAATGAGAAGCTGTGCAAAAGAAGGGCACTAGTCCTAGTCATCAACTGCGGTTACCTTGTAGATTGGAGATGTCTTTTAGTGACGAAAATTTTAGTCCGAAAATTTGGTCAAAGTGTCGCATTACTTTTCGACCAACCTAATATAATAAGCTGTGATAACCTTTATCGCATCTCCTTATTCCATTTCGTGCATTCGTGCAGGTATCATATTTCGCAGGTGCAGGATTATCAGTAAACAATATTACTGCTTTTTCAAGTGCGTGTTCCGTTGCCTAGGTAATGGCACTTCATTAGGGGCTAAATCTCTAAATGACCGGTAATTACATAACGCGCGCTCGCCACAACATCGCCACCCACCGAGAGATACAGAGCGAATAATAATCTCTACATACTCCCTATTCATTCTACCCGGGTTTAACTGCCTTTACTCTCTTAATTGTGGCAATCGCAAAAGAGAATATGTTCCTGGAAATGAC